TACACCACTTTCTACACCACTTTGCGACCCGCAAAGGCTGCTTTTGTGGTAGTTCCTCCATACAATACAATTTTTATTTTTTGGCAAGTTTACATTGAGATTCTGTAGTTACAATAATGAGTTGCAGTGCAAAGAGAGCTACTGTCATGCCATGGCATTATGGGCATTAATGGCTTTCAGACTACTTAATACTAGAGAAATTGAGGCAATCAAATTTCATCTGAGGAAGGGGAGGGTAGCTCCAGTTCTTGGGATGAAAAATCCTTGCCAGTATCAGTTCATCCCTTCTTGAAGAGTTGGGAACTTTACATTTCTTGCCTCTTATTGAAGTTACAAGTTGCAGCCGAGCCTCTTGCTCTCGTAAGGAGTAATTGCAGTGTGCAGTAGTCCATGCAGTATTTTAAGCGAAAACACTTCAGACATTCCCATTAATTAAACTGATACGGCCAGTGAACGGTCTAAGTATTTCTTCCAGATCTGCAGTTTCACCTAAATGGAGATGTTGGGTGCATATGTTTTGGGATGTGTTTGTGGTTGGTAGATTATTGCTGGATCATGGTCTGTATACGTACTTATGGGGAAGGTGTATATTTCTTTGGGCCATCATATGCTTTGTTTACACACACACACACACACACATGCACACGCATGCACACGCACATGCACACGCACACGCACACACACGCACACGCACATGCACACGCACACGCACACACAGAATAGGAAGGTACTTGAAGAGGAGAAACCGACCGATCAAGCTGATTCTCAGGACAGAAACAGTGCGGAACAGGATCCTCCAAGAAAAACCACGGTTGAAATACTCGGAAGAGTACAAGAGGGTGTTCCTAGACAGAGACAGAATACAAACAGAACGACAGCAGCTGAGGGAGAGGACAAAAAATCGAAAGGAGCTAGGAAAGGAGACAAGGATGGAACCAGCAGAGGTCAGTCAGAGCAGAACAAAACAGCAAGGGCAAGCACACACACAACTATCCTCAGAACCCCACAACCTATCACACCATCCCAACACACACTACAATCCATACCCACAGCTTCCACCCAACACCCAGCTATAGAATCCCACATAATGCTACCAGGTCTCCCACCCTCACAGGCCCCCTAAACCACAGTGTTGGAAAGGAAACTGAAGGTATGGTACACAAACGCTGATGGAATAACAAATAAGTGAGAGGAGTGGCACGAAAGAGTCAAAGAGGCATCACCGGACATCATAGCTCTCACAGAAACCAAGCTTACAGGTATGATAACAGATGCCATCTTTCCAACGGGATACCAGATCCTGAGGAAAGACAAAGGGAACAGGGGGGGTGGAGGAGTGGCACTGCTGATCAAAAACCGATGAAATTTTGATGAGCTGGAGAGAGGATACAGCGGAGAAGAAAGTGGTTACATAGTGGGAACGCTTCACTCTGGAGGTCCCAAGGTGGTAATTGCAGTGATGTATAACCCACCACAGAACAGCAGGAGGCCAAGGCAAGAGTATGATGAGTGCAATAGAGCGATGGTTGACACACTGGCTGCAGTGGCCAGAAGAGCTCATGCATGCAGGGCAAAGCTCCTGATCATGGGTGACTTTAACCACAAGGAGATCGATTGGGAGAACTTGGAGCCACATGGGGGCCAAGATACATGGAGGGCTAAGATGATGGAGGTGGTACTGGAAAACTTCATGTACCAACATGTAAGGGACACTACAAGAGAGAGAGGAGAGGATGAACCAGCAAGACTGGACTTAGTATTCACCTTGAGTAGTGCAGATATTGAGGACAGCACATCTGAAAGACCCTTGGGGCCAGCGATCATGTGGTTTTTAAGCTTCGAATACACAGTAGAGCTACAAGTGGAGGGGGGAGCAGGAAGGCCAGGACGAATGAAGCCAAACTACAAGAAAGGGGACTACACGGGAATGAGGAACTTCCTGAACGGGGTTCAGTAGGACAGAGAACTGGCAGGGAAGCCAGTTAATGAGATGATGGAATATGTAGCAACAATGTGCAAGGAGGCTGAGGAGAGGTTTGTACCCAAGGGTAACAGGAATGTAATAAAGTTGGTAGAATTACCGACAATATGTAAAGTAAAAGGACACAAGTGCAACTAATGTGACATTTATTGTGGCGACGTTTTGCTCTCCAGGAGCTTTATCAAGCTTGATAAAGCTCCTGGAGAGCGAAACGTTGCCACAATAAATGTCACATTAGTTGCACTTGTGTCCTTTTAGGTAACAGGAATAATGAAAAAGCCAGGATGAGCCCATGGTTCACCCAAAGGTGCAGGGAGGCAAAATCCAAGTGTGCTAGGGAATGGAAGAAATATAGAAGGCAAAGGACCCAGGAGAATAAGGCGAGCAGTCGTAGAGCCAGAAACGAATATGCACGGATAAGAAGGGAGGCCCAACGACAATATGAAAACGACATAGCAGCGAAAGCCAAATCTGACCTGAAACTGTTATACAGCCACATCAGGAGGAAAAAAACAATCAAGGACCAGGTAATCAGGCTAAGAAAGGAAGGAGGAGAGACAACAAGAAATGACTGTGAAGTATGTGAGGAACTCAACAAGAGATTCAAAGAAGTGTTCACTGAGGAGACAGAAGGGGCTCCAGAAAGACGGAGAGGTGGGGCACACCACCAAGTGCTGGACACAGTACACACAACCGAGGAAGAAGTGAAGAGGCTTCTTAGTGAGCTAGATACCTCAAAGGCAATGGGGCCAGATAACATCTCCCCATGGGTCCTGAGAGAGGGAGCAGAGGCGCTATATGTACCCCTAACAACAATATTCAATACATCTATCAAAACAAGGAGATTGCCTGAGGCATGGAAGACAGCAAATGTAGTCCCAATCTTTAAAAAAGGAGACAGACATGAAGCACTAAACTACAGACCAGTGTCACTGCTATGTATAGTATGCAGAGTCATGGAGAAGATTATCAGAAGAGTGGTGGAACACCTAGAAAGGAATGATCTCATCAACAGCAGCCAACATGGTTTCAGGGACGGGAAATTCTGTGTCACAAACCTACTGGAGTTCTATGACATGGTGACAGCAGTAAGACAAGAGAGAGAGGGGTGGGTGGATTGCATTTTCTTGGACTGCAAGAAGGCATTTGACACAGTTCCACACAAGAGATTACTGCAAAAACTGGAGGACCAAGCAGGGATAACGGGGAAGGCACTACAGTGGATCAGGGAATACTTGTAAGGAAGACAGCAGCGAGTCATGGTACATGGCGAGGTGTCAGAGTGGGCACCTGTGACCAGCGGGGTCCCATAGGGGTCAGTCCTAGGACCAGTGCTGTTTCTGGTATTTGTGAATGACATGACGGAAGGAATAGACTCCGAGGTGTCCCTGTTTGCAGATGACGTGAAGTTGATGAGAAAAATTCATTCAATCGAAGACCAGGCAGAACTACAAAGGGATCTGGACAGGCTGCAGACCTGGTCCAGCAATTGGCTTCTGGAGTTCAATCCCACCAAGTGCAAATCATAAGATTGGGAAGGGCAAAGAAGACTGCAGACGGAGTACAGTCTAGGGGGGCCAGAGACTACAAACCTCACTCAAGGAAAAAGATCTTGGGGTGAGTATAACACCAGGCACATCTCCTGAAGCGCACATCAACCAAATAACTGCTGCAGCATATGGGCGCCTAGCAAACCTCAGAACAGCATTCCGACATCTTAATAAGGAATCATTCAGGACCCTGTACACCCTGTACGTTAGGCCCATATTGGAGTATGCGGCACCAGTTTGGAACCCACACCTAGCCAAGCACGTAAAAAACTAGAGAAAGTGCAAAAGTTTGCAACAAGATTAGTCCCAGAGCTAAGAGTATGTCCTACGAGGAGAGGTTAAGGGAAATCAACCTGACGACACTGGAGGACAGGAGAGATAGGGGGACATGATAACGACATACAAAATACTGAGAGGAATTGACAAGGTGGACAAAGACAGGATGTTCCAGAGATTGGACACAGTAACAAGGGGACACAGTTGGAAGTTGAAGACACAGATGAATCACAGGGATGTTAGGAAGTATTTCTTCAGCCACAGAGTAGTCAGTAAGTGGAATAGTTTGGGAAGCGATGTAGTGGAGGCAGGATCCATACATAGTTTTAAGCAGAGGTATGATAAAGCTCAAGGTTCAGGGAGAGTGACCTAGTAGCGACCAGTGAAGAGGCGGGGCCAGGAGCTTGGACTCGACCCCTGCAACCTCAACTAGGTGAGTACAACTAGGTGAGTACACACACACACACACACACAATAATAATAATAATAATAATAATACCGTATTACTCAATTGCTAGCATACTCAGCTCACACACTGGGCTGGAAACGTGAGGACGTGTTTCCATAAGACACGTGCTCTCCAGTATTCACTCATCAGTAAAATGGGTACCTGGGTGTTAGTCGACTGGTGTGGGTCACATCCCAGGACAAAATTGACCTAATTTGCTTGAAATGTTCTGCATAACAATTACAATCAAAACAAAGCGCTAAACCTATCTGCATAACAAGGGTTTTTCTATATAGTAGTAGGTCATTGATGTCAGCTAGGCCTGTATGCCTTGTACATGTAGAAGTAATAATAATAATAATAATAATAATAATAATAATAATAATAATAATAATAATAATAATAATATTATTATTATTATTATTACTTGGAGACAAACTCAGAAAATTAATTGATCTGTATATTATGACTCCCTGCTGGGATCCTCTTCAGCAGATACACAAGTGAAATGAGAACATGGATTTATAGGGAGGTTGCACTACTCAACTCTGCAGGTGAGCACAGAGATGCAGCCTTTCGATAAATTCATGTTCTCCTTCCACTTGTGTATCTGCTGAAGAGGACCCTAGCAGGGGGTTGAAATTTACAGATCCTTAATTTTCCGAGTTTTTGTCTCCATGTGGTTACTGAGCATTGACATGTGTTCATTACACTTCAGATATTATCATACATATTTGTGTTACAGGTGTGGGCATTGTGTTGATCACAGTGTCAGGGGTAGCGTGGCACCTCACTTCACGTGATGCCCCATGTAGGGTCATGCTGGGTCTGGCACCTCATGATCCTGCCAGAGGGGAGCCTCGTCGCTTCATGGCACGCATGGCGCCGGCATTTGGTCGACCACATCATCCTTATGCTGGTGAGTCTCTCGTATAAGTGCAACTGGGTCAGGTCGGTGAGCTGGCAGAAACCTGATATATAAGTTTTCTTATGGGGAAACACTGGACTACACTTGAGAGTCAGATTGGAGACAGTTACCGGAAAATTAAAACTTGAAATTCAACCACAGAAAGTTATTGTAGTAGTATAAGCCTACTTGATTAAATAAGAGTAATTGGGTTTTGTTATAGGCAGTAGGTTGTAGACAGCAACTGCCCAGGGAGATACCACTATTCTGCCGAGTGAGTGTAAAACAGAAGTCTGTAATCATTTTAAATGGTGGGATTGCTGGTGTCTTTCTGTCTCATAAACATGCAAGATTTCAGGTACATCTTGCTACTTCTACATACACTTAGGTCACACTATACTTGCATGTACAAGCATATATTATATACACACCTCTCTGGGTTTTCTTCTATTTTCTTACTAGTTCTTGTTTATTTCCTCTTACCTTCATGAGGAAGTGAAACAGAATTCTTCTTCCATAAGCCATGTGTCTCATAAGAGGCAAAAGTTGTTAGGCAGAGATTATTATTATTATAATAAAAAAAGAAGCGCTAAGCCACAAGGACTATATGTTAGGCAGAGAACCTTATGGAAGGTGATTTATGTTGTGAAGGAGAGATGGGTGGACAGCTACCAACTGATACATTTGGGTTTTGGCCAGCGTTTGGGAGCAGGAATGGGATGATTTTTGTAACGAAATGGGCTGAAGGACCAAATTTGTGGCTTCTCAATAGATAACACGATTAGTGCACATGACTCAAGGAAAAGCAGTCAATCGGGTTGATTTAGGAACTGCAATTATAATCAAAACTAAGCGCTAAACCACCGGGTTATACAGCGCTGCAGGGTAGAAGTTGTGTAATAAATCTATTACATAACTGTCAAAAAGTCAAAGGTGGGGCTGTCAGCGAGGAGGGAATGTAAAGTAAGGGTGTTAGAGCAATGATGTTGAGGGTAAATTCTCTGTGCTCGCTGATAGACTAGACAATCCAATGGATTTAAAACCAGTTGAATATAGCATTCTCAAATCATACGCAAAAAATCTTTGAGGAAGCAAAGAATGTGCCGACTGGAATTTATTGGGACTGAAGTAGGGGACTACATGGCTCACTAAACTCGTGAAACTTAAAAATGCTAGAATGCGAAATTTCAATATTTCCACTTTTTTTCCATTTATTTCATTTAAATTCCTACAACCCAAAAAAAAGTTAGAAAAAAAACTGGGGGCATATTTTTGAGGGGTTTCGATTTTTTTTTTTTACCCCCCAATCCCACTAGGCCAGGCCATTGGGCCCCTGGGGGGCCACCCAACAGCCTGGTCAACCAGGCTTTTGGGGGTCCATGACCCACATATTCATCACAGCCGCACCTTTACAACATCAAAACTAAAACAAAAAAAAACATTAGGAATGAATTTTAACCAAACAGTGGAACCTCAAAAATCGAACTTTTTTTAGTCCAGAAGGCTGTTCGAGTGCCCTTTACTGAATAATTTTTTCCCATCAGAATAAGTAAATTTGATTAGTCCATTTCAGACCCTCAAAAATACACTTTAAAAGCACTTACAAAAATCACTTTCATAATTGGTTGTGTTGGGAGCAGTTTGATTTTTTTAGGTTTTCCCCTGAATTTCAAGCTAGAACATTTTCTTACCCAACTTTATTTCAAACCAAATCTCATTTTTTTATTATTTTTTAAATAATCTTTTTACATTATACAGATTGGATGTAAGGTGAAATTTTAGACGTAATGTTTTAAGAGTAAATTTATGCCATAAATTGATGGCAACAAGTAAGAAGAAGTGAAGTTAAACTAAAGAATAAAAATAAGTGAAGTAGAAACACTATTGAAAAGATAAGGATTGAAGAGGTATGGTGTGGATATAAGAATGAAGTGCTAGTGTACAACAGAGGTTTACGTGTGTAAGGGGTTGGGAGTAATTGGGGGAATAATTAAACAAAAATGGAACAGAAGAAAATTAGGATAGAAAAGGATTTAGTGAAAAATAATACAGCACTGATAAAGGGAAGGGGTTTACGAGAGTAAATCACTACGTGAATTTTACTGAGAAAAGTATATTGGAGGAAAATCCCTGGGGGGAAATGAAAATTTAAAAGGGTGAAATGTTAATGGGGAAAAACTCAGGGTCTTTAACCAAATTTTTGTATAAGCTTTTTCTCGAATAAAGTATTTTAAATTTTTTCCAAGAAGCTTTAAAAAAATGAACTAATTTCACAATGATGTACCCAGAATTCCGTACCGTCCCCACCTCCCAGTTACCAAGCCTCCATGCGGAGTACCGGCTCGGGACTACTGTTAGATCTCACCAAGCCCTCTACTAATCCCCAACACCCTC